TTAATCCAGGTTTCTATATTTCTCTGTTCAAAAGCTGCTTTGGGATAACTTTCCCAATTCTTTTTTGGGTACTCAATCATCAAATTGTAGGCAATTGGAATTAAACTGAATTTTCTTTTTTAAAGCTGTCAGATCTGAAATCAAATTACACACTAACCCTGGGTTATCTTAACCCACCTTTCAACATACTGGCCCTGATTCAAACATAAAGGTCAAATGGATGATCACCTACTAAAGAAGTTCTTAACTGTTAACCAAATTCTCCTGGTCAGAATCATAGGGAATGTAAAAAGAACAGTGTAAAGCAAGAATATACCTACTGGTGTTGCATGTCATTTGGTTACCATTAATTCTGAGATCTAAAGAAAGGTCCTTCTGGGGAGGCTAATCAGCTTTGTTCATTCAATATATAATGAAGGGATAAAAGAATACAGGTTTGTTTTGAAACTTTCTGCACATCACAAGCCATGTTGTAGATTTTTACAGCAGCTCGCCCCACCTGATTGAAAACAGTTGGGTTACAAAGTGGCTACCTGCTCAGCTGTTTATATTGAGCATTCAGCTGAGTTACACTCTCATGAACAAAACAGCCAACCTCAAGAAATTCATCAAGAAGTTGATGTAAATATATTTGTATTTGTTGTTAATTTTTTATTGTGCTGATTTGAATTTTCATCTTGAAAATCATATTATGGTTGAGCATGTTTTGAGAAACCAGCTGAGAAATTGTGGGATTAAAATGTTCTGAAGTAGAAAACGAACAATAACATTCTACTGAACAAACTGCTAAACAGTTGAAAAAAAAAAAACCGTCACAAGAACATTTTTAATTTTCCGACAATTTCAGAGTCAAATACGTTTAATTTCTTTTTTAACTCTTTTCAAAATGCCATTAAAACCACGACAACAAGCGAGTAATATGAAGCAAATAATCTCCTAACAAAGAATTAGAAAAAACCTTTTCGCAGGTCTTCATTTGTACATAACTTAACCAGGCAATAATGCCTTCTTATTTTGACAAGGCATACCTAAGCTGTTAGAATTAAATCTTTCTTTGGCCCGAATCTTGGAAAATTTTTCAGTTCTCCATTACGTGTCGTTAATTTTACCAAATAAGAACAGCTGGTTACCAGTTTTTCATGGTTTTAGATCGTCACGATCGCCCGAAAATTCGGTGTTCTTTCCATTAATGATTTAGTACTCCAACTTTGAACAAAGCCCAAACTGTGGACTCGTTAAATTGAGAAAACATGAACAGGCTAGACGGTATTTTTGGATGAAAAAATTAAATTACACGCCTTTGTTTAAATCGCCTAATCTGTTAAAAGTTTATACTTTGCTTGACTTGAATTATTGTCACAATATAAGAACATAAACTCAATGCTTAAAAACTGAGAGCGTTTTAAAAACGATTTGTTTTCCCGCTGTACAATGTTGACAAAAAGTTTACACAAACATTTCCGGAGATGGACATCTTTGACCTTGAAGGTAAATAAAATAGCATGGTAAAACTTTTCGATTTTTATGATTTTCCTTACTTTCTTTTTCAAAGGACTCTGGATCTCTTCCACTTTCCAATCGTTGTATCTGCAGTAATTCTTGTTTCAAATTCCCGTTTTGTGCTTTCAACTGCTCGCACATATCCCTCAGTTCTTGAAGTTCGGGCTCTCCCCATTGCCCTTCCATAACATGGCTCTGCAAAGCGTTTACATCCTCTTGAAAATACTGTACTTTAGAAGTCAATGCTGCCCTAAATCGTGCTCCTCGTCCATCGGGACTCGATAGATTTGCTGGAGAAGAATCAGTCGCTGGACCTGTTGTCCGTTGCAATTGGTTGCCATTTTGCGATATAGCGTGAGATCCTTCGCTTGGAGGAAAACCACCTTCGCTTAAAA